GCTCGATTAAATAGCTTCTTTGTTACAAACCATCTCTTCTGTTAGACTTTAAGGTGCTTCGTCTAATTTAATGAATGACTGTGGAAATTCTAATGGTACAGTTTTTTATATATTACAATTACAAATGGATGTCGGCCGGATACCATCTGGACGCCCGATATGGAGCTATATTGTGCCATAATATATTATCAACTTTCATTGTTGCTTTAGGTGATAGGTTCACGTAATAATTCTTATTAAATCCATATGCTCTTTTATTTTGTTACGAATGAGTTGTAAGCTTCAGTGTTTTATGAAGATGTTTGTTATTTAATCGCGACTAAACCATTACTGAAAGCTAATTTTGATCAAATTTGGTCATAGATAGCTTGTACGCTCTAGTAATTATAGTATACTTAATGACCTAGTATTTAACGGTTATTTTCTTTCTTAATTTTATAAAATTGGTTATTGACTTGATTTTTTTTACAGAAATTTAAGATTTCTGAGATCTGGATGTAATAAAAATGTTCATTATCTAAATGATTATTAAGATAGTTTTGTTTTACTTGATAGGACTTTTTCCTTTTTTACACAATGTATTCAAACTTCAAAACACACTTTTGTGTATGTAATAAATGACAAGCTGGATTTGTGTTGTTATATGTATTACGCTTACAAGATGTAGTAAATGTGGTATGAAAATGTCTTACTAATATGTATTTAGGGTCCAAAACATAATCTTTATCTAGTACCTATGTTGAAATGGGGTTCGTAGATAGTACCCTCAAAAAATCTTCAATACATTCTAGAAATAACTATCAAAATAATAATAATAATATCCCCTGTTATGCCCCTCTCATACTTCCACATGTATTCATTCTTCCTTCGTCGTTCAATCTATCCTCCTCTGGAACGCCCTTCCCCAGGAAATCAGAATGGCACCCAGCCATCATTCGTTTAAGGCCAAGTGAGAGCTCTCCTCACACACAATGAAGCTACATCGTCATTGGATTAAGACCTAATATATTTTACGAATTCTGTAATTGTATGTATGTATATGTATGTATGTATATGTTTGTACGAATGTATATATGTGTAGGTATATGTATGTTTGTAAGAAAGTCTTAATGATATTCATCACTTTTTCTACCTGCATTTATTTCGCGTATCCTTTTGTGTATGTATTTCTTTGTTAAATCTTGCTATTGAGTGTAGTGCACCTAATCACTCATCTCTACACCACCGCAAGGTACTTGGTAGAGAATGCCTACGTCCACCTTTGTACATTTTTTTTGTGCATAAAGTATTAAAATAGCCTGTACTATGGTAACCAGACTGCTGATAAACATAATTATATCTTTCTAAATACATAAGTATGATTAGAAATATATAAGTATTATTCAACTTATAAAATAAACGGTGCGTTTGACGTTGACCACACCTCTTCATGAAGATGTTTACAAGACATGTAATCAAAATGATTACAAAATGGCTCGATTCTAAAATGTCATACATTCCAGCTATAGGACAGACAAGTAGGCTATAGATCACTTTATTTGTATAGTTACATGTCAGATGATGTTGTAACATGTCGGAACATTGTAATAACATTCCGTTGTTCCATTACAGTCTCGTCACTGATTGAGCAGTTGTTCCACGGCGAGCGATATAGTGTTTAGCGTTTGTAATATATAACGTATATCGTTTTTACTAGTTCTATTAGTAGATTTTTTCAATTTAACGATATTATGATTCTGATAATAAATATGTCCATTTAAATAAACTTTTTTAACTCAGTGAATCTTTGTGCTCACGTAACTACTCAATGTTCTTCGCAAGTTATGTGCTGAATAGAATTTAAATAAAGTGCATATTATAAATTAAAATTAGATTATTCTTAAAGAGACAGCGATGATATATCTACTCTCCTGAGTGTTAAGTATCCCTTATAGTGGTTTAGTCCCTTAAAGGAGATTAATATTTACATAGTCCAAATAGTGATTTAGACTGAAAGCGTAACAAACAAATTCACTTTCACATTTATAATATAAAGTAGTTCATAATATAGAGTTATTGTGTAAGACGTTTACATTCATTACGATTCATTACATCTTCAACCAACTGCGCCTTAAAGGAGAGTCCATTACTGTCCGTCCAACTAAAGGAATGTGAAAATAAAAAACGCAATAGGCAGCCAATTTTAGATCAGTTTTGTTTCCATAATATCCACACAAATTTAAACGTATGCATCCTCTTTGATAAATTGTGCATAAGTAGTGCATAAAGACCCTACTGGTGGTATAATTACGGAAATATTTGCTAGTACAACCTACACTGACATATGCCGTGTGCTGGCTTCCTCGTACTTATTGTAAGTGGGTGACGCAGGAAAGGCTGTACTAAGATAATATGTATTATGGGTATAGTAATGTAGGATTTAACGTTATAAGGCGTAGGTTGAATTAAAAAAAATAGATTGTTGTGTATCTTGTCATGGATATATGATCTGATTTAGGGCTGGGCTTGATTTGTAATACAGCCGTCGTAAATTCATTCAAAATTCAGTTATTCTCGTAGTAAAGTATTAAACAGACAACGTTGATCGTAATGCATTGGGTTGGAATATACGTAGTACCTAGTACGCTAGTAATATTATTTTAATGTTGTAATGTGATTATGTCGTACTGTGACCGAAAGTTAAATCAGTATTCTGCTAGTCTTAGAAATACTTTACTACGAGAATACCTTTGATGACAATTGTGAGATCAACAGTAGATGGTGACTGAATTTTAAAAGAATTTTTATTACGAAAATTGGCCTTCTCGTTTAAGTAGATGCCTAGCTCCACATGCAAGATTAAAAATAATAACATTTTTCTAATAAAAATTGACAATATTTTTAAAAGATTAAAATAAATGATAGTGAAACACAAGTCTAATTCGAATTACACACAATCATTTAATCCAATAACCACACAAAATACTCCGAATACTACGTCCTTAGTTGTTTTATTTAATGCATGTATAATCTCAACTGCGCTGGTTTTTATAATCTGTGTACAAGAACTTAATGTATCTTTTTGCTTTGCATGATTTTTCATTTTAGATTTATTAGTCTGTTTTTTTCCAAAATATTTTTAGCAATCATTACATTAACTTGTCGATAGAAGGTCGCACCTACCAGTTATTGTATAAGGAAATATATTCTTTGTGTAAATATAAGATCGATTTAGAAAACATACACGTTTTGTTCGTTTGTTTAAAGTAGGTGAGAGTGGGGTAAAGTAGATCATTCGCTTCAGTTTCAAATGTATTGCGAGCTAGATATAGATACTAAATTAGTGAACAAATATTATTATATTATTATCTATAATATGTATGTATTTAAAAATGTATAAGTATGTTTATCAGCAGTCTGGTTACCATCGTACAGGCCCTGCATAGTTTGGGATCAGACGGCCGTGTGTGAGATGTGTGAATTTTTTTTTTTTTTTTTTTTAATATTATTATAGACATTATAAAATTCTAAATTATTGAATATCGACGGGCCTGTTAGTCTAGTGGTTAGCGAACCTTATGTATTGTAAAGAGGAAATAATGCAGTTATTTAGCGATAAGCCTTGTATATGTGTGAATTAGAATATTAAGTAATCCACTGTTACCCACTTTACCCTATATATCATTATCTTAAATTATAAAAACTTTGACTGACTACATGCCCAATCATCATTATCATCTTCAACATCAACAGCCTTTAATACCATACCTCTCAGACAAAGGCCTTCTTAGGAAGGAGGTTTTGGCCTACTATGCCATGCTGGCCAGACGGGTTATTATAGGGTTTGTTTCAATTTTTCCTTCTCTTTACAGTGCTGTTGTCCTGCCTAGTCGGCTCTTACGACACCCATGGGATGAATAAAGTTGGTGACACTCCATATTCTTAATCCGTCACCGTATCCGCTAGGCACACATGCCCAATACAAGCTACGAAAATTCTTTAACAGAGACCATAATGTCATTGTGTTCATTGTTCACCACAAAAGTAGCCTCCTTATAGTATCAGTCGCCGCTCAATAAAAGTCCTGTATAATAAGAAATCTATTTTTATTGCATTTAGTATTTAAAACTACATGTATCCTACACTTGTAAAACCGTTGTTTTTTTTTTGGTAAATAAAGATTTTTTATTATTATTATTATTTGGGTTGAACCGTTCCGTACATTAACATATAATAAATAGACAGATTAAACAGACATTATCTTTAAAAATTGTTGGATCAGTATTACTACCATGAAACTTTTATGCATTCGGTACGACATTACAACATACACGTCAACTTTATTTATTTGCCTATGTATGGATTGAATAATCCACAGCACTACATCATGTACATCACTACTTCACTTACACTACTTGTGACCCATTCTAGTCCTTGAGTCACGTATTGTATTACGTGATCATAGTATAACACCTTTTAAAACAAGTAAATTTTGGTTACAACATGTAATTCACTGAATAGGTTGTTCTTAAGTTACAATGTGTATGTTACATTGCATAGATTATAGTACTGTGAATAAAAAAAGGTGCTTTGATAAATTTCTATAAAAAAAATATGCCCTTTTTACACGCTTTATATTAGCTTCACTTGTATGTTTGTTTGTAACCGACTCCTTTGGGCGTGATTTTGACTGACTTTAAACGGTCAGAATTTCTTTAAACTTTGTAGATCTATCGAGGACCGATGACAATACACTAATTTAAAATAAAAACATTTACAGAAGTTTAATAGAAAACCAAACTCAAAAATAGAAAATAAATTTTAATAACTTTGAAAAAAAGCGTGGGGTGCTTTTTAGTATTGACAATAGGCACCCAACGCTTTTTTTTTCAAATTTATTATACTATAATAAGCGTGTTTTTTAGTTTTTTAAAATTATTATTTTTTTACTCTATTATCGAATTAGAATAATATGTTTTGAATGTACGTATGTGGATGTATAAATGTATTTCTAATGCAATATGCATTACCGTTTAATTAAACCCTGCGAAGGATTTTCACATATGAGATTTGTCTTAGTTTTAGGAGTTAAGTAGCGTATTTTTGTTAAAAAATGTATAACACAAGTTATATGTCACATAATTTAGATATGACGTAAGTTATGACTGGCCTGTTGGTCTAGTGTTTAGTGAGCCTATCTGCTAAGCCAGAGGTCGTCGTTCGATCCACCTAAGACAAATAATTGTGTGATGAGCACGATCATTTTATTCTGCCTGATTTACAATATGTATTTAGAAGTATACAAGTATGTTTATCAGCAATCTGGGTATCAAAGTACAGACTTTGCCTAGTTTGGGATCAATCACTCGTGTGTGTGATTTTTGTGAAGTTATTATTATTATATATATTATACTAACAAGGTATATCCTACCTACCACACTTTGCTGTGGCACATTGTTGAAATGAGGAACAATACTAACGCTAAAAAACAATCTTTGAAGCGGTTTGTATATTGCATCAAAATTTGAGCTGAGTTGTTTATTTTTAGTTTTTAAAGCGTACACAAACCAACTTAACAATTAACATGAAGCTTTGAAGTTTAGCCAGCGTATTTAGCATCAACCTGACACTGTGGTCTAGCATATTACTTTAAATATTATATACTACAATGGTCTTGCTCCGCACTTCTATAAATTTTAAACGATATTTTCTCTTTTCAGGCCAAATCGGAGGAGCAGTTAGCTTGCGAGAAAGAATGGCTTCAGACGGGACATATGTGGCTGGCCCATCGAGGAGGCTTTACCGCCGTGGTGCGAGAAGGAGAGGCAGATACGGGCAGGGCTAAAGTGCGAGTGCTACAGACTGGCGAGACACTTACTGTTGATGAAGATGACTTGGAGAAGGTATTTTTCGTTTCCGTATTTCACTGCATTTTTAATATATATATTTCACTTTATTAAAGAGAGAAGATGATTTATTTATATTTCGAACTCCTCCAGTTCTTATTAATTTCGTTACGGTTTCCAAGTTTTTAGTTTTGAATAACGTTTTTCCGCTACTTCCCGAGTGTGTTTGTCACTGCTGTTGATCTCGGCGTACAAGAGTTACAGTAGTGGGCATGTGGGAGTGATTAGTCCCATCTCGATTCAAGTACTCAACCGGTTTTATCAGCGAATAACTCTAACTTATAATTAGATTGAAATTCAACACCAAAAATGTATTTACTTTCGAAAAGTTTTATTGAAAAAGTAATTTATTTATATACATATAATTAAAATGTTTCGGTTGTTAATATTTTTAATTAGAAAGTTCAAATCTTAGACCATACATAGATGTTACTTACTTTCAAAACTTTAAATTAAACAAAGACTGCTAAATGAAATGAAAAAAATAATGTAAAATTATTTTAACAGGATTTTTTTTGCGATCACGTAATTGATATTAAATACCTTTAAATTGCCTAACGTCATGCTATATCATGCTGTTCTTATCCTGATCATAGGCTCTCACAAACTCATTATTGCCGATTCAGTTCACAACATGACGAAATATCTTCTGGTCTTGTCCAAAAATACCAGCGGATAATACTTATCATGAAGCAATAAAAGCCTGTAGTATTTTAGTAGTGTAATGATATCACTGCCTGTACTACTAAACAGAAGAGGTTCTTACGAGATATAATACCTATAGGTCTTTCTCCTTTCCTCCAGGCGAACCCTCCGCAGTTGGAGCGGTGTGAAGATATCGCCTCCTTGCGGTGTTTAAACGAATGCGGTGCTCTCAACGTGCTGCGGTCTCGTTTTGCTGCGGGTCTACCGCACGCTCGTGCTGGCCATGCCCTCCTAGTGCTCGGACCACCGAAACGCACTGCTCCTATATACACTGAAAAGGTAGTTACACTCAAGCAAGATTTACTATTAGTGTTTTTTTAAAATTAAAATAAGTGAAGATGAAGATGGTATACGCTATCAAAAATAAACCTTTTTACTCCATTTATAAACGTTGATATTAGTAACCTTTGGTTAAAGTAGTAGTTCATTCAACAGACTACAACATCAAAAATATAAATTTCTCGAGTTCCAATCAATGCAAATATTTGTATTTATGACTGCGTCTATATACTACCACTTCGTTTACAAATTCACAAGCTCTTAATTGAATTTACATCTTTAATCTTATAATATAATTTTACACCTGTAATGGTTACAAAAATTAAAGTTGAGTATCTATACATCTCCAGGTAGCAGCTATGTTTCGAGGCTGTCGCGCCGATGACATGCCGCCGCATGTTTTTGCTGCAGCACAGTCTGCGCATCGCTGTATGTTGGCTTCAAGACGTGACAGGGCTATCGTCTTCCTTGGCCGGTAAGTTTTGTTACTCCCATTAGAAAAGGAATTAAAATGATAGCAATAAATTTCGAAAAATATATCAGTTCCATCATTAATGCCTCCCTATCTGTCTTCGATCAATGCCTTCTGTGGAAAGTGCCAGCATAATATAAGTTCAATATAAAATTTCTTCAATCTGCAATATCAAATTGTGCCTCTTCATTTGTAGTTATTTAAATAAAATCTACAGTAAATCGATGACTTTTATAAAAAGTATTATTCAGGGCCCCCCATGCTTTACAGATTAGACAGAGTTTTTGGAAGTGTAGATAGGGAGATCTCTTAATAGGGCGATGTTTTTGATTAAAGGTAATTACAGAAAGTTCAATAGAAATTGCGTCTTATACCAATCAATTTTAATTTATTATAAAAGAAATTTCTTATAATAATACGTGTTACGTGTTACGGTGAATGTCAAATGAGTATAATCTCATTTAACATTGCCTCACTTACACAGATTTGTTTATTTAATTAGTGAATACCTGTTGCCTCGTTAGTATGTAAATTTTACAGTAATATTAGTTTCATGACGCGCCGGAGACAAGAAAGTATATTTTTTTGTTAAAAAAAAGTTACTTTTGAAAGTTTGTTTATTAGACCGTTTCGTGAGTTAAATATATTTTTGAATTTAGATTTTTTAACAACTTTCATCGAGTACTCGTATATCGCTTCAGTATAAATTGCTTACACGTGCCAACGTCATTGGTCTTATTCTGACATTTGCAACGTCTGTGTGATTTACAGGTAAATGAAAACTCACTATAACTTTTGTTCCTGGGAATTAATTCATAATCTTAATATTTTTTTTATCATAGTCATTAATATTTTTGATTATCTGTCTATCCATTTACGCATAACTGTCTCTGTCTATGTCTGTCTAGTCGTCCCATAATTTTTTGATCTGTCCGTTGAAACAAAACAGTGAGACTGGTGCCTAGGATTCTAAGTCAATTGTCCATTTTCAATCGTCTACCGTCTAACCTCGTCTGTTAGAGCAAATAATTACACGTTATTGCTAGTTGTTGTTTCCTTTTGTAAGGAAAGGAGGGGGGAGGTAGAAATGTGTACGGAGTGTTTTACTCCCTTTTTTAAAGAAAATATTTAAAAGAACATAACATAAATCTCTTACGAAGGTATGGAACTCTTCGCATGCGAATTCGACTCGCAATCGCAAAAAAATCACTAACACTCGTGGACACAACTATGAACAACATTCAGGAAGATTGTTATGATCTCAATGTTTTCTTTAGCATTGGATGAACATGAAGACGTTACCTTAAGCTCGTGTTTAAGTTGCGTAAATTTTTTTCTAGGCCGCCGCATAGTCCGTTATAACTTAGGTGCATCACTCTGCGTATTACTAATTATCTCAATGTATAATAATTTGTGATCATCACTAACCAAATCGTAATTTTTGGTATTATAATATTTATATTTGTGGTAGTTTTGAAGTGAAACCTCTTTAGCATCGTTGTGATTTGAAACTCTATGAAACGAAAATGCGTCTCGATATAGAAACAAGCATATAAATGTATAAGTAGGATTAATTCGGCGAGAGAATGAGATAGAATACATTACACATTATTGTAATATATTTTGACGGTGTGAATATTTCTATCTTTTTATTGAATACTAGCCGGTACCCGCGACTTCGTTCGCGTGGAATTTGAAAAACGCTGCTCGATTCCCTTATTGAGATTATTCTGATTAAAAAAATCGGAAGTTTCACTTCTGCAAAAACTTAAATTATACATACACTTTTTTTTATATTTGATTGGGTATTTAATTTCTTTTGTCATAATTTTCAAAAATATTATATAGTATATATATATATATATAGGTCGACTTTGATTTCAAGAGCCTTAGGCGGAACACAGTGTTTATTTGTACAAAATGTATTTCCAAAAAAAAATGATATGTATTTATATCAGTAGTCTAGTACTTATAGTACAAGCTCTGCTTAGTTTAGGACTAGATGACGTTGTGTAAATGTGGAAAAAAAATCACGCGTCTCGGTGTTATCTAGAGTTGGCATCATCTTACCAAATGTTACTTTGTATAAAGCACTTTAAATGTTAATCCCGAAAAAATACGTGAATATATTTAAAAAAAAATATATATTTTGTCTTAAAAACTAAAAAAAGTTAAGGACATTATGTATTTCTGCCATATTAGCTTCTTATTTATGTATGTTATTTCCTCAATAACTTAAATATAATCAAAGTAATAATTTAGCATTCAAAGTGCAAGTTTAGTTATCTATTGCTATGTTAATCTGCATGATATTGAATAGCAATAAGAAAACAAGTAATACAGGATTTTATGATCCACTAACATTCTATAAAATTATATTTAAATCAGCAATTTAACGCCTATAAACTCACAAACAAGCATACAAACTGGAAGTACACTCTATTTTCGAAATGATAAGGTTTGAAATCCTGTTTAAAATATGAAATCGTGATAGGCTTACAGTAGTGATATAATCTTGGGGACTAATTATCAAGGGAATCATTAATTAGGACTACGAGTATATACGTATATTTTAATTACAGTACCGTAATAGATGCGCCATTAGATAATAATTTGTTGAACGGGAGCTAAATATTATAATTTATAATTCAATGAATACTTTTACTTGTAAATATTATAAATGTTAAATTTTTACTAGTATTATTTAAAGTTTGTTTTTTGCTTAAGAGAAATTTTAAGAAAGAAAATATCAATTAACTCATTCACATGTTTATTTTTTTTAAGTAGTTTAATATGGTTAGGCTTGAAAGGAAAAAAATAATGTCGCTAATTTGCTTAAATATTTGTTTACACTTTTAAACAAAACACAAGCAGGTTTAACTCTAGCAGAAAATGAAGTGTACACTATTTTCTGGCTCAATACTAGGGCTGCCATAAACAGATTAATACAGACTAGATGTTTAATCTGCACGAAAAAATAGTTCGTTTTAATGCAGTGAAGAGGACGCTCGTCCGGCCATTATATCTAATTAATTTGCTTTGCTAGATATTTTTTTAACAAAATGTGTGGGTGTTGACTTCCTTTTTAAGGAGAGGCCTATGTCTAGCATTCAATTACTTACGGTTGTTGATGACATTGGTGTTGAATTTGTCACGATGGAAACCATATCTTTTGACCTTTTTAAGGTACCTCAAACTCATACTCAAACGTGCATGCATTGCATTGGTCTTGGTCACAGGCTCGTCCTTTCTCTTCGGGCTTATGATTTCATAGTCTTCTTTCACTAGGTATATCTTTAGATCTGATTGAGAAATATGTTTTTTTACATATAACGTATTAAAATGTACATAGGAGTTGTTCAATAGGCGATGTTTGTTCTTGAGAGATTGTTACATACATTTAAATAACCACGAAAGTAAAACGATTTTTTTACCAGTACAGAAGAATTTATGTTCTAAGGAGAAACGTGTATTTCCTTAAACTATAAAAAAACAAGGTATTTTATCGGCACTGTCTTTATTAAAAATAGTACGACTTACTTGTTCATTTTATATTCGTGAGTGCTAAGAATAAAAAAAATTCACGATACACGTTTAAATTGAAGCAAGTTCTGCTCCTCTCCGAATCTTTTATCGAATTTCAAATTTAAGTTTTTAGAATTAACATTGTTAATATTTCAGATCTGGTTCCGGCAAAACCTCAGCAATGCGTCACTGTGTTTGGTACTTAGCTAGTGCCTACCCCGCTCAGGGATCCAAGCTAACTCCTGAGCGATTGGATTCTGCGTTTGATGTGCTGCACATTTTTGGATGCTCACGGTACGTCAATAGAAAACTTTTCAAATGACATTGACTTTAGATGAAATATAACGTATTTCATTTCTTAAGTCTATTGGGCTATGTATAGATAAATAGGTATACTGAATACTTGAAACTATGAATACTACATAGTATGTATCTGTATCTTACATGTGTATGTAAAAAAAATTTGTATCGCAGCGCTATATTCACGCCCGCCGCCCATCAATCGAATTCTATGTCTCATGCTTAGATGCAAATATAAATGTCAAAGTTTCTGAGGACTTAAAAATTCGTCCGTCGTTACATTTTTAGCAATTTTAGATAAAAACAATAAACCATTTTTTTGTTGTATATTTTAGACACATCTGGAAACACGTAATTCAGTGTTATTCGTCATTTAAAATAACGTTTCTTAATAATGTTTTACCCTTTAAATTGACCACAAAACAAATGTTAACAATTTATTGCACAGCACGAGTTCAAACGCTCACGCGTCCCGTTTCGTGTCGCTGACTTCACTGGACTTCGACGGTGGCGGCGCACTCGCTGCGGCTTCTGTGCAGATCTTGCTGCCGGACCTGCGACCTGGACAGAATTCCCTAAGAGCATTGAATGTGTTAGTACTCCTTTTTTACAATTCAATTATAACAGGTATCAAAAATAAAAATTATCGACTGACCGTGACCGCGTAACGGAAGACGGAGTGTGGGTAGGGTCCCGACAAGGTGGTCTGACGACCTGGTGAAGAGTGCGGGCAGCCGTTGGATGCGAGCACATGACCGGTTATGGTGGGAAACTTTGGGGGAGGCCTATGTCCAGCTGTGGAACTCTTTCGTCTGAGATAATAATAATGATCTAAAATAAAAAAGAAGAATACAAAACATATTACATATTACATCACAACTTTCGACTTGATATTTTAAATTTTGCAGACTATATCATGGCTGCGACGGCCGCCTTCGACGGGAGCTACTCTTTGACCAGTCACCGGTGAACGCCCCGAACCCTTTTATCAGCTATAGCGAGAAATCTGATGCGGCAGAGTTCTCAGCGCTGAAGGAAGCTCTCGTAACGCTGGGGGTGACGGACCAGGAGCAAATGGCGATATGGAAGATTATGGCAACGATATGTCATCTGGGATGGGCTGGTGTTGTTAGAGGTAATGCTTTACTCTTAACGAAGTCCGAGAAAATACCTATTCTTTCCTTTTTTTCACATTTATTTACACGATGTCTATAATATGGATTCTGTCACAGTACAGAGCGATTGGTGACGATTTCAGTGCCGGCCAATCTCAGCGCCGAACGCGCTTACCGTGACGATAAAGTAGATGTGAAATGAACTCACACTTGGCCCTTAGAAACAGTTTTTAATCATAAGCCATGTTTCGCACAAATGGGCCAGCTCGAATCGGAGTGATACTGGTTTCACAGAAAAATGGTATTAAACAATTTTTTGCTGTATTTTATCGAATGAGTAAGGTTACCCAAGGTGTCCGTTATCCGTGTGGTAACGGATTAAGAATACAGAGTGTCACCACCCCTATTACTCCCGTTTAAGTCGTAAGAGCCGACTAAGGGAGCAAACTACGCAGGACAACAGACAAAGAGAAGGCAAACTTGAAACAAACTCACTAGCAACCTGTCTGGCCAGCGTGGTATAGTAGGTCAAAACCTCCTTTCTAAGAGGAGGGGCCTATGCCCAGCAGTTGACTAGTAAAGGCTGTTGATGTACCGGAGGCACAATCCCTTTCCTTTCCACCACCTTATAAAACTGACCGGCCTCACTTTAGGCCTGAAATTAATACTACACTACGATATTGATCATTTATTTTTGATCGTTCATTATTATTCATTTAATTTATTGACATTTTATTAAATTTTTAAATTTGATTTTAGTTTTCTTTTTTTATTGTGACTATTTCGATGTAATAATTTATTTACTTTATTGATCGTAAATTGTATTTTTTAGTTAAGTTGGTTAATGCAACAATCGTTTGTGATATGAATAAAGAATATCGGGTTTGGGCTCCGGTTACCTCACTCACTCGAGAGAATCGCCTAACCGGTATTCTGTGAGGCCGTGGTATCACTCCGGTTGACCCTGCCTGTTTGGGCTGTAGCATGGCTCTCTCTCGGCGCGTAAAGTTGTTAAAGTGATAATTTGTAATATTTCTAGCGAACACGGGCTCGGGTATAAAGTACCAGTTCGCGAGTACGGGGTGCGGGCAGCGCGCGGCGCGGCTGCTGGGCGTGGCTGCCGAGGAGCTGGCGCGGGCCGTGTTCGCCACCGTGCCCACCTCGCCACAACCTAACTCTAACTTAAGGTTTGTTTATTTTACATGAAAATTATAAGGGGCGTAAAGGATATCAAATCATCCGCAACTATCTTTGACATTCTGGTTTAAGTTTTGTTTTGCATTCCAATTAAAAAGATTACAAAAGGACTAATCTATGAATATAAAATTACTTGCCCTGACTGACGGATTTATCGACGCAGAGTTTAAACAGCTAGGGCAATAGACTTGAAATTTTGGCAGCTGATGTCTTTTATTTTGGAAACCCCACTATGAAAGGATATTTAGAAATTTACTAAGGACGGACGAACAGACTTCCATATACAACCGTTCATCCCTTATTTATTCCATAGAGGATGAACGGTTATATTCTAAAGTTAGAAACACTAAATAGGAAACTCGAGCTAAGCCGAGGACCATAACTAGTGGTAAATGTACGTGATCCACACACATTTTTTAATTTACAGTTAATAATATATCGTCAATTGGTTCTAGTCTGTCTGTTCCTTTTCTTAATTACATGTACTATGTATACTTTGCTTACTCGTATAAAGAAATTTAGTTAATTATAGTAAATTTAGTCATTTATTAATTACGTATAACTAATACAATGATTATGTAAAATGATTATGACAGATTTAAAATCAATATTACTCATATGTCTCCAGAACTCCATCTCCTTCGAACGAACGAGAGATGTCAGGCACGGAGGCGTTGGACGCGTTCGTCAGCGGACTTTACAACGAGACGTTTAATATTGTCGCTGCACTCGTTAACAGGTAACCCTATTTTTTAAATACCAATTTCACAGCTTAGTTGTTTGTGTTATAAAAAAAAACAACAAACTGCGCAATTAGCAAAAGAAATTGAGTCGAATGACATCTAAATTGTGTCTTCCTTAATGATAAATAAAAGTTCTTATGTACAATCCTCTGTGCCAAAGCACGATCGACGGACCTGTTCTAGTCTAGACTGGCGGGTATAGTGGTTATTGCCCTGACTGCTAAGCCGGAGGTCGTGGGGTAGATTCCCACCCAGGACAAATTAATGTGTGATGCTCATGATCATTTGTTCTATACCTGGGTGAATTTAGCTGTAATATGTGTGAATTTAGCTGTAATATGTGTGAATTTAGAAATATTTAAGTACGTTTATCCGTTTATCAGCAGTCTGGTTACGATAAAGCAGGCCCTGCTTAGCTTGGCACTAGACTGCCGGTTGTATAATGTGTGATGTTATTAAAAAAAGATAACCTCCTCGTTCATGCTTACATATACCGAAAAAAATCACTCTTAGGCATAACTTACCAATATCTTTAACTCGCGTAACGCAAGTAACCTGTAGAAGAAAAATAATATTTTGTATTATGTATGATATTGACTTAGTATTTTTCTGTTTTGCAGGAGTTTATCCACCTCAGCTAGGACTTCAGCATCTATTCTATTGCTGGATTCACCAGGCGCAGACAATCCCATGTGTGCTGGGCAACAGAGTGGTGCACCACTGTCCAAACTTTTATCCAACTATTTGCAGGTAAATCTATTAGGTTCACATACTAATATTATAAAGCTGAAGATTTTGTTTGGTTGAACGCACTAACCTCAGAAACTACGAGTAAAGTTTAATTTTAGTCTTTAGTTTTTTTAAAAGACAACTCCCGCATTAGGAATGTATCTTGTGTCGCGGGGGACTTTACAAACATACTTGAAACGGACACAAAGAACACCCAGACTCAGAACAACAAGTTGTGGATCACACAAAATGTCGTCCCATGTGGGGTTTGAACCGACAACACTCGGCGTAGTAGGAAGCGGTGTAACGATCGCTTAAACCACTACGCCATCCGTGCAGTCAAAGTTGAAATAATATTTTAAATTCGGAAAGCTCATTTCTTGATTAACTCCTCACGTGCCGCTACACTGATCAGCGCTCACCGGTGAAGGCATAGTTAAGGCAAGACCAATAGCAGCCTAGCAGCAAAAATATTAAAAAAACGGGGCAACTTCGTCTGCCTCCCAAAAGAAATAAATTTTTATTTCTTTTGAGAGGCAGACGAAGTTGCACTGGTCAGCTAGTCAGTCATGAACGATACACTAGAGTAGCTTAGTATTTAGTTTCCTTATGGCATTAGTCCTATTGTGTTTTATAATGTTTTATTTATAACAGGAACGTCTACAAGCGATGTTTCACGAAGCTATGCTGGTAGCGCCGCGGGAACGGTACGCACAAGAGGGCATACAGCTGGATGATGGCGCTGAAGAAGGTAACAATTTAATTATTGCTTCTCCACTTATCTACGTTTCCCTTTTTTACAAACTCCCAATTTTCTATTCAATAATATAATTTTGAAAGGGACTGCTTTGCTAGGTGTTACGTAAGTTAGACTAAAGTTATAGAGTGCAGAATGTGGACGACTAATCTAATGTCTCTCTGCTCACCCCTTAGCGGAAATAGTCATTATGAGTTCTTCTTACAAGGAGAGAAGCCGTGGGTCCGCATTCAAGGATATGAGGATGATGATTATGTGATGTTATGTTTCGTGAGATTATTGGTCCATTGCCAACAAAAAGTTCAATTTGTCACGCTATATTCAGTTGTTCTAATATATGCATAATGTTGCATACAATTTAAGAGTGACCCTTTTTTGAGTAGGCATCACATAAGTATTTTTCGGTTCTAATATCGGTTCTAATATTTAAAATCCAATGATGTACGTAAAAAGCAAATTATTTTAATAACTTAAATATAAGTATATTACAAGTATGTGATTATAATTTCAGATTGGCTCTCAGAGACGGTAAATCCCGGCCCCATGGTGGAGTTACTTGATAAAGCTCCACAAAATAGTATCGTAAGGAGCTCTCAGGCAGATTTGAGAGAGTGCGATCGGCGTGGTTTGTTATGGTATGTTGTGTGATATTTCTTTGTGTAACTGTGTAACATCTATTGACTATTTAAAGAGAATTCTCTGCGCATTATTATCAAAAAATAACAAACGGAGGAAAGCAAAATTTGTAATACTTAAAGTATATAGAAAAAGTTCTAATACCAAAATTTTCCAAATAATAAATTTTACAAATTTAAAAATATGTGTCAAACTACACTTTACATATGTTAACTTATCATGTCATCACAACTTCAATTTTGCTGTTTAAAAACAAAAATTAGAAACTTATTATGTTAAGAATTCGTCTAATAGGATCTCTTTTTTTATTTGTGATTCATGTTATTAAAAAATATGAAAACAATAAGTATTTATATTGGCATCATAATTTTTTAATGGTGAAAATCACACTAAATAGTCCAAAAAACTAACAACCGCTAGGCCATAAAAGTTTTTCAAAAGTGCTTCACTAGTGTAAGGATCTCAGTTTAGCCAATAGGCTTCTATCCAGGGAAATCCAATGACTTTCATTCAATGTTGGGAATGCCTATTATGATTATAAAAACTATTTGCATTAATATTTAAATATACTGCTACATATAATAACGTTAACTTTACAGGCTCCTGGATGAAGAATCTATGTACCCTGGCTCCTCAGACGACACATTCCTCGAGCGGGTGATGTCCCACTATGGAGCGCCGCATCACACTCATGCACTTATCAAGAAGGCTCCTCATGCGAGACAGTTCGTGTTGCAACATTTGCAGGTAAAGTAATAATTAATAATAATATAACCATCATCATCAACACCCCTTACTAGTTAGTTATTCAGACTGTCATTTATTTTATGATCAAATTCAAATTTAATTAATCGAAATCGCAATCAATATCACAATCAAAATACACTTTTTACCCCCTCTTTACATAGTGCTTTAATATGTAAGTAATGAAATCTGTAGGCATATATTGCATTTAAACGCCGAATGTTAAAACTAATTATCGAAACTTGCTCTTTTTACTGTCAAATATTTGTTTAATTGATCTTTCTAAATAAAAAATGTAATACTAGAATTTTCATTGATATCAATTTTCTATTCAGGGCACGAACCCAGTACTGTATGATGTTACCGGATGGGTGAAGGCGAGCCGAGAGAATCCTGTTACCAAAAAGTCCTTGACTCTACTGCAGGAGAGCCAAAAGTAAGTAGTTTATTTTTAAAATACAAATTACCTTATTAACCAAACCACATAATAATGTTTCAATTTAAAGATATGAAGTGTTCGCTCTACAATAAGAGGGGAAAATGAATGCAAATATATCATTTAAGTTTTTAAGTATTTGTAAATTACACGCATCGGGCACCATTTTTACTCTTAGATTTTATTACTATAAGGTAACTTAGTCTTATAGTTTAAACAAAACTACACTACATTTAAACACTACATTTTTCGGTATGCAAGGTAGCCTATGTGTAAATCCAGGGTGTTAACTATACCTTTACCAAATGTTTTTAAAAATGGTCCAACCGTTTGAGCGTGAAGAAGTAACAAATATACAAACACACATACTCACAAACATCCGCTTTTATAAGATTAGTGTGAGATGTATGTACACACCGCAAGTAAACTAAAAATTGAAGTCAATTTTTTTTTTATGATTCGTTACACAACGAATCTTATATACTTTTATTATTTTCAGTGAAGAAATAGGTCGTCTATCGTCGTGGTCCCGCGGCGCGTGCGGCATCAGCGCCTGGTCGGCTGCTGTGGGCGATGCTTCGACTCTAAGACGAGCTTCGTCTATTAGACGCACCCTCACTTCTGGTAACTTATTTTATCTTTTTTAACATGTTTGAAGCTAATCTAAAGAATACTTTTTGACTGCCTCGGTGGTGCAGTGGTAGCGTAAGCGATTTCTGTGCCAATGTCTCGGGTTCAATTTGCGAGTCGGACCAAATATTTGTATGATCTGCAGATATTTGTTTCGGTGTTTTCTATGTATGATATGTATTTATTTTCAAAAAAAAAACAAAATTTGTATTATATCAGTCAATCTAGCTTTCTACTATGAAACAAGGTACAAGCTTTGCTTAGTTAGAAACTAGATGGGGTTGTGAGTCAGTCAGTTAGAATTACTATATTGAGGAACTCTTTAAAGCAGTTGGCAAAGAATTTTTTTGGATGAAATATAATTGTTTTAAGTTCAGACGTTCCGCCTAGGCGAGGATATTATGACGTTACGTGGCATAACGGTTGATGTTGGGAAGTTGTATATGTGTTAATCTAAAATTTTAATGCTAAAGGCCAGATTAGTAGTTGATCGGCGGCGGTAACACGGTTGTCACGTACCACCAGGCGACCGTGTGCTCATTTCCCACCTGTTTAATGCTTTATCCGTTTATTTATATATTTCATCATCATTTTAGTCGAAAGATGTCCACTACTAGGCCTTCCAGCAGATGAAAAGGTGTATTATGTAGTTCTTCCGATCCTCACTTATTTACAGCAAATAATGTTCTAAAACATAAATTAATATTCTAATATGTCTATGGTAGGCACGGCGGGTATGAAGCGCCGCTCCACAGCGCTGCAGGCGAAGTTCGTGGCGGACGGCATCGTGGACACGCTGCGGCGCTGCGGCGCGGGCGGCGCCACGTTCGTGTGCTGCCTGCTCGCCGCGCAGCCCACCGACGGCGCCGACGATGTCAACGTGCCGCTGCTGCGCTCGCAGGTCTACCTTCTCTTACTCTACTGGGTTTTCGGTGGCGGAGACGGATTAAGAATACGGAGTGTCAGCACCCCTATTAATCCCGTGGGTGTTGTAAGAGCCGACTGCAAAGGGAAGGAAAACTTAAAAGAAACCCGAAGGCCAAAGGCTTCTTTCCAAAGAGAAACCTACGTCCAGTGATGGGGACCAGTAAAGGCTGTTAACGATAATGATGATTATTACTTTCATGATAGTAATGTCGCAACGCATTACAAGGTTGTGACAGGATGCTTCATAACTTTGGCGCGTTTATCCCGCTTTCCGCGGTGGGCTGTTGCCAGACTGAACCGGGACCTACTAGAGGAGGCAGCCATAATTCACTCGTGGCTGTCTCCTCAGGCTCCGACCGAGGAGGTCGACGTGGGGGCTGGTCGCTTTCGCGATGCGATTACGCATGTATGCGATGCGGCCATGCCCCGCATTCGAGGTCGTCGGCCTCCAAGGAAGGAGGTCTACTGGTGGTCCCAGGAGCTGGCGGACCTCCGTGCGGCCTGTATACGTGCCCGGAGGTCCTACACGCGCAGTCGGCGGCGTCACCGTGGAGACGGTGAGGAGGACCGGCTTCATGAGGAGTACCGACGGGCGCGGAAAACTCTGAAGCTGGCCACTAGCCGCGCCAAAGAAGAAAAGAGACAGGAGATGCTGGAGGGTCTTAATCGTGACCCCTGGGGTCGCCCTTACCGCGCGGTGCGACAAAAGCTCCGCGCGTCGGGCCCCCCCCTTACGGAGACTCTCCAGCCCAGCTTCCTGCGAGAAGTGGTTGAGGGCCTTTTCCCACAACGGGCGGAACACACTCCCCCGTCGATGGCCTCCCTGGCCGGAGACGACGGGGAGCACGGGGAGGATAATGTTCCGCCCGTCCGGGATTCGGAGGTAGGGGCGGCTGTTCTACGGATCCGTTCCAAGAACACCGCCCCTGGGCCAGACGGGGTACCGGCCCGAGTGCTGGCCCTGGCCCTCAACCACATGGCAGACCGCCTCGGGGAGGTGTTCGACGCTAGCTTGGCGTCGGGACGCTTCCCTGAGTGCTGGAAGAGCGGGAAGCTGGTCCTATTGAGGAAGCCGGGACGGCCTGCCGATTCGGTCGCGGCCTATAGGCCCATCGTGCTGCTGGACGAGGCGGGCAAATTGTTTGAGAGGGTTCTTTCTGCCCGCATCGTCCGCCACCTCTGCGAGGTGGGCCCCGATCTGTCAGACGCCCAATTTGGTTTTCGGGCGGGGCGTTCGACAGTCGACGCCGTGTTGCGCCTGAGGGCCGTGACCGAAGAGGCCGTGAGCTGTGGCGGCGTGCTGTTGGCGGTGTCATTAGACATCGCCAACGCATTCAATAGTCTGCCATTCAGCTGCATCAGGGAAGCACTCCACTATCATGGGGTGCCAAAGTACCTGAGGCGGCTGGTGGCAGACTATTTAGAGGAGCGTACCGTCGTGTACGAGGACCGAGAAGGTAATTTGAGGTGTCGGCCCATGTCGTGCGGTGTTCCACAGGGGTCTGTTCTTGGACCCCTCTTGTGGAACATAGGGTACGACTGGGCCCTTCGCGCCGATTTCCCCCCCGGGCTGGGTGTAATCTGTTACGCAGACGATACCCTGGTGACAGCCCGGGGGGCAAACTTCCAAGAGGCGGCGCGCCTGGCCACAGGGGGAGTCTCCCTGGTGGTCGGGCGCATTGAGGCGCTGGGCTTACGGGTGGCCCTAGATAAGACGGAGGCCCTGTTATTTCATGGGCCCCGTCGTGGTCCACCCCCTGGCGCCTCAATCGTGGTCAACTCGGTCCTCGTACCGGTTCGGGCCCAGATGAAATATCTGGGCCTGATCCTCGACGGGAGGTGGCTCTTCGACGAGCACTTCCGACAGCTTGCTCCAAAGCTGGTCGGCGCTGCGTCTGCCCTAGGGCGACTTTTGCCCAATATGGGTGGACCCAGCGTCGCGACAAGACGGCTGTACACGGGGGTCGTCCGGTCAATGGCACTGTACGGTGCACCGGTGTGGGCGGCGGCTCTGACCGCCCAGAATAGGGTACGCCTCTGGCGCCCTCAGAGGGTAATGGCGGTCAGAGCCATACGCGGTTACCGCACCGTTTCGACGGAGGTGGCGTGCGCGTTGGCCGGAACTCCCCCGTGGGATTTGGAGGCGGAAGTGCTCGCCGAAGTTTATCGGCGAGTGGCTGACTCCCGGGCGGAGAGCGGATTTCGCCCTCCGCCCGAGGATGTGCGCGAGTGGCGCGAAGCCGCTCGCCGAGCCACGATGGCTCGTTGGTCGTTCCGGCTGGAGACTCCACGCGCTGGCTTCGCCGCCGTGGAGGCTCTCCAGCCGGTCATCGCCGAGTGGGCAGGGCGGCAGCACGGGACCCTTTCCTTCCGGCTGACGCAGGTGCTTTCCGGGCACGGTTGCTTCGGAAAGTACCTGCACTCGGTCGCTAGGAGGGAACTGAGTCCCGCCTGCCACCACTGCGACTGCAGTGAGGACTCGGCCCAGCACACGCTGGCGGTCTGCCCCGCATGGGCGGCGCAGCGCCGGGCCCTCACTGCAGTCATCGGAGTGGATCTCTCGCTACCGGCCGTAGTACGCTCCATGGCCGGTAGCGACAGTTGTTTTACCGCGGTCGCAACCTTCTGCGAGGTAGTAATCTCGCGGAAGGAGGCGGCGGAGAGGGCCCGGGAGGACGACCTCCACTCGGACCCGATCCGCCGCCGGCGAACCGGGCGGCGGAGGCCCGCCTATCACAGCCTCATGCCGCCCTGAGTGTGGCCGCGGGTGGACGGGGTGGGTTTCCCCTCCACCCGCATTAGTTTGGCCAGCCGCGAGGGGGCGGCGTCCGCGTGTGAAACAATCATGTAACTAAAACCATATATCAATGGTAATAAAGAAATTTAATGGTTCGATTGTTTTAATCCTCTGATATCTGAAATTATCAGTCAGATATTTTTATTTGAGATAGAATAATCACTGAAGCAGGTTATAAACTTAAATAGTACGGCCAACTGTCAACTCACCATACATTAGATAGGTTTGAGCCCACAGCAAAATAGGTACCTCATAACACACGCTAAGGTAGTGTCGTATCATCTGTGTCTACACGTCAAACTCATACATTTAAATTTAATAGCTTGTTTTATTTACAGTTCCGTGGATTCCAACTGTTGGATGCAGCTAGACTGTACAAACAGGGCTTCCCTGAACACATGCCACTGTCGGAGTTCGCGCGCAGGTAATATTACTTTTATCGTACTAGATTTTCGAAACTTATTTTATTTTATTTTTTATTTTTAGGGATAACAACAGCTGCTGCTAACTAAGTATTCAACTATGATTACATGAGTAGCCAAAAAAAGTTATCCACGGTAGATACATAAAGTGGATGAATATGCTAATAACAATACACAATATTAAAGCTGATTGGCAAACCTTAAAGAGATATATGTATTGATGTAAAATATGAAATATAATAAATAACTGAAATAAATAACACATACAAATATATAAATATGAGGGGTAAATTAAATTGCATAAATACATTAGAAACTTTATATCATCTAAAAACCTATAAAACCAGCCATTCAGTGCAATGATGTTGACATTTTACAAAGCCTATGACGATAGTAATTTAAGCGAAACTCGTTTTTTGAAATTGTCCTTAGAACCGATGAATATGTCTACACTACTAAAGTGTTTTGTATAAGTGTTTCTTATTTATTATTATAACCGGCTTCACAGCACTCCGTCCTTTTCACAGAACCACCCTTACAAATTCAAGAGGAAGGATTTTACGTATCAAAAATTAGTCCTAAACAAAGGTCCATGACATATCAGAATACGATAACAAAATTATAAATTGTTCAATAGGTACCGTCTTCTAGCAACGTCGGAGAGCGAGGACTCGGAGGGTTCTCAGCCGGCCACACTCTCAGACCGGCAGATAGTCGACGATATGTTGCTCACTCTAGACCTGGACGTGACCAGCTACAGGCTTGGACTCACTCAGGTAAGTTACACCGCTAAAAAAATTATTGCGAATTTTTGTGAAAATTGTGTAGTTTTTTGATTTGTGTCTCCTTTTCAGGGCCTGTTTCAGAGTAATATTGTTTTTAAAGACATTATATATTATTGATAGCAACACTAACGTATTAAGAAATAACGCGTGTTCAATAACTTTGTATCTCCTTTATATATTTTGATACGCAAAATGATGTGAAATTATTTTGCGTGAAGCTACGATAAGGATTTTTTGTGTTCGGTTATTTTTTACGTTATATTAATAAATATAATAATGTCATTGTTACGAGTAAAATCATCTGTCATATTGAATTTTTTGGTACACTTAGGGTACCTACATATTTTACAATCAATATATTATCCAGGTACTACGTGTTTTCAGAACGAATGTTCATTCAACGCTAATTTTAAACCCTATTGTAATTTGGTACCTAGATTTGAGTATCTAATGACGACCATCTATTAATTAATTTTGTTATTATTAAAAACCGGCTCAACCCGCAAATGTTTCGATAAAGTTCTAGTATATACGAATCAATTAAATAATTAGTATACTTATAAAAGTTATTTATCATGTTTACAAATTATACACAAAGATAAATGGCAATAATTAAAATATCAAAGAAACAGTCTCTGTAACCAGCTATTGTTAATGATGCTAATTAAGATTCTATATTATTCCATTCAGTGGCACGAAAACCTGTCTATATATAAAGCATTATCAGATAACAGTAATTGCTTAGCTCAACAATTGTATTTTTCGTTAATAGGAGGTCGGTTTATTGCTACATCGGCCAAGTTATTTTCCAAAACTAAATTATTCGTACCTGTTCATATTTAAGACACAACATATAAAATAATGTTATGTAAAATTTAAAACTATAATGTATCATGAATTTCTGCGAAACGAAGTTTGAGAAAATTTGCTAAACGATTATAAATACGAATGTTTCGTGACTTGACGGGCTTGGTCTAGTGGTTAGTGACCCTAACTGCTATGTTGGAGGTCGTGATCTGTTCTGTGTCTGGGTGTAATTTATCTAAAATATATATGTTTTTAGTCTGGTTACCATAACACAGGCTTGGAAACAGACGTTCGTGTGCGAGATGTGTGAAGTTATTATTATTACTTACATTGTATTTATATCTTTCGTATTTCTTTAAATATTTTTAACATATTTGACAAACGATTTATCTTTTGAATAATTTATAATACCTATATTTATGTACTTATTATAACAACACTAAAATGTAACTACTAATGCCATACAACATTTCAAAAAACCTGTTATCTCGCAATATTATGAATATTCAAGTAAACTCTATGCACATCCTCAAAATATAATTTACTTCTTTAAATATGTAGACGCACATTTTTTTCCTATTAATTTGCCGCCAATAGTATACGCATACCTAGGTCCTGTTTCAGTCTGATAATATACTCCGTTTTATTCAACATAATAATTAAGTCACCAGGGGGCCTAGTGTAAGTTTATTTCAATTCTACTCGATCGTCACGGTGACTGCGTTCAGCGTTGTGATTGGTAAAGAGGTTCGTTCGGGCCAATCACAACGCCCGTAATAAACTACATAGCACAAGTTTTGTTTTAGATAGATACATAAACTCTTTATTGTACGCTAAAATGTATAAAAAATTTGCGTACATTGGAGTAATCTTAAAACTAACGTACAATTGGCAGTATTATCGGGATCTGCGATTTCTTTCATGCAACCCTTAGATGTAGACCTCGTAGAAAATCGTTCGGTGCTAAGCAATCCTTTCTTTGCGTTTCACCCAGTGAATAAGGTGGCTACCAGAGGCATAGCTAGCCGGCTTTCTCCTTAATTCTTTACCTAAAGGACGGCGAAGCACCTGTGTCTATTGAGTTGAAGTTTCCTTTGGCGTTAGTATTCATTTACCATTAGGTGATGCTTTTACTCATCTTCCCCCTATACCATAAAAATAGATGTGAAGGAACGGGTGTCAAGGGAGAACTCTCCGACCAGGCGAGGTGATCATGCCTGGCGTTCCGCGGCCCAATGTTGATGTTGGGAAGTTTTATATATGCTAATTGGCGAAACAATTATTAATATCGCGATACAGGATTAGCAGTTACTCCGTAGTTCGGTGTGTCATCGTTAGATGGCCTTGTAGTATGTTTTTGTTGCATGTTATGTGAAAGTCGCCACAATAGGCCTGGTATTGTTTAATTCACGGCTAAAACTTACCTACGGTGTACCAAAAGGAGACTTTTTCAATGAGAAGGGATTCTTATACATTAGGGCCTCATAAAACTGACGAGGTCAATTAAAACTTCAAGTAATAAATTATTCGTTTGAAGCTACAGGAAGTACTTAATCACTAATTCAGAATACTAATAATTATGATAATTAAATCAACGTGCTGTGCATTGTTAATGCATTTTTTATTAGCTATCAATCAAGATGAACAAGGGTCTAAAAGTCTTAAACGTGTGGCAAGCAAGAAAACATTTTTAGCTTACGCGATCCTACGTTAGAACTAAATCATCAACTAACGTCGAAGTGTTGAAAAGAGTACTTTTAACATATCCTAAAACTAAGATAGTTGCTTCTGGACTTATCGTTGATACATAATTATTAGTATTATAACTATCAAATCGTCGGCTTACCGCGAAAACCTGCTAAGTAGATTTTATCTAGTTTTAAGTTTAAAAGTTTTCATAGTTTATACTTAACTAGCTGTCCCTGATGAAAGATATACATTTTTACTTTAGAAGTTTTTAATAGAAACAATTCCGCCATAGATGTTTATTGCACACGTTCACCATTTTTGCAACATTTTTCATTAATGCTTCGCTCTAATTGGTGGTTGTTATTAAGCTTTGCCTTCCTCGATAAACAAGCTATCCAACATTAGAAGAATTACTATTAATAATACTGGCAGTTTGTACCGCAAGTGGGCAAGAGTGCTCCATCAACCACATCAACTAGTTTAAATTCCAAGTAACGCGTAAATAATACTGAAGTGTTTCTTCGGATAGCATGTACTAACGAAAGCTTAATATATACGAGTATATTATATAAGACCCGCCACACTTGTCATGTGGTTTTATTACTAGTTTTATTGGCGGTAGAGCATAGTGGCATACTATAAACTTTATTTACTCATCGTAAAAGGACAGAAGTGGTAGTGGTATCTTGCAGTACTTGATCTATGTGAACTCGAACAGGTTTAAGGAAAGTTGAAATATATGATTTTCTCGTGACTGAGAAATAGTTTATATGTTCATTACCATTATTTCAAAAGAAATGTGGGTGTTGACACCCACATAACTTTTTAAATAATGGGTAATAAGGTTGTCTACATTAAATAGTTCTCTAAGTGAAATAGAAATGCTGCCTTCTACCCCAAAAACGGTACGATAGTCATCTATATGTTTTTAAATATTGGATTGTGTACGGTATAAAAATGCAAAAAGTTCTGCCCCGATTAAGTCCCAATTTTGACACGACATCCGCTTCGAAGATAATTTTTATCTATTTTTTGCATCAGTTTGTTTCCTAATTTCTTATCAATGCTACCACAATTTGCCACAGCGAATCGTGACATGTTACAGCTTGCGCATTATAAAATAACAAAGGCACGCGTTAATATCGCGCCGAAAACGTGCCTATCCTGGGTAAATAAAGTATCCAATTAGGACGCTTGGGCCTTTGGTAACCTCACTTGGTGTAAAATAGAGGAAGAATTGCCTAACACCGATTTTTTTTTGTGATACCGTAGTATCACTCCGATAGTCCAAATGTACCGAAGAATGGCACTTCCACAGTCTAAAGAACGATAAAGAAATGGTTTTTATCAGAAAATGTCTTTATAGGTAGAATAGTTTTTATTAAGATGGTTCTTATAAGTTTCCGTCAACGTTAGTGTGTTTGTGGTCTGTTTTAAGTCATTACCAGATTTCTCATTACTTTCGCCAAGTAAGAGTAATTTTAAACTTGCATATTTTAAGAGGATGCAATTAGTATGGCTAAAATAGAGCTTATAATGTTGGTCTTAATTTATTTAGCAATATATAAAAACAGAATTTAGAAAATAACGAGTATTGTAGTGAAATTGGACGGTCATGTTGCTCGCGAAATAACGACCCACTTAATGTCGTGAGATTTCTTGTGAAATCATACGCAAGTTTAGCCACATTTGCCTAAATTTCACCGTAGCGTGAAAAGTCGTTGTGGCAATTTTTAATTTTGATTTTTATGCAATGCACTGAATCTTTGACAATTACTCTATACTAATAACGTTATCTTATATTGTACTAATTGTTGCGTTTGTGATTTCAAATATTAGAAAATCGGACAGGCAAAATTTTATAACTTATCATAAAAAATAGTCTATTTTCATTAAATCAGACTATTTGTATTCATTACCAACATAATCAGATCCATCAGCAGCCTTCAATAATCCACTGCTGGACATAAGCCTCTCCTTAGAAGGGAGGTATTGGCCTACTATACAACGCTGGCCAGGCGGGTTGGTACAGGGTTTGTTTCAAGTTTTCCTTCCCTTTGCATTGAGTTGCTGTCCTACGTAGTTTTCTCCCTTAGTCGGCTATTGTCTGTCACAATACGGACAGTCAATTCGTATATATATATATCGTCTTGATTCTTTACTGTTTATCAATGATCTTTGGAGTGTTCTCGTGTGTATCTAATACTGGACGCAGACAGGTACAGTTTAATAATAATGCATTATGTTGTTCCAATAACTGAATCAATCGATTAAATTTAACCCACACAGGATAAGAGTTAGTGGTTGAAATTAAGACCAAAAACTAGCGCTTTTCCTATCTTGGAATACTATAATTTTATAAATTAACGATTCAATGACCAAAATATATTTGCCATAGAATCAGCAAATGTGGACACACAAAAGAAACACACGAAAGAAACGATTTTATCCATAACTGTTATCTACTCATTAAAGTGATTAACAGACGTAGTACAATAATTTTTTAAGATTTATTCTGTTCGTTTATTTAATGTGTTGCTTTCGCTTAAATAGCCGGCGAAAGCGACTTATGATGGCATGTCATTTGCCAATCTTATTAATAACAAGTTAAGATAATAATC